GACAATATAATACATATTTAAAATGCCATTAATAAGATTCATATTGTGGAATAACCTCAGCTATGTATCTAATATATTATAATGTGGAACTAACCCACCAAAATACACGATTGCTCCCATCTCACCATGTTCAAATAACATATCAAAACTCCACTCTTCATAAGGTTCTTTAAGCCAGGACACACGGCCAGATTTTCGGCTGAGCAGGGAGTCCCTGAACGCGCTGCTGGACCTCCTGGGTCAGGAACGGAGACATGGATGGGGTGCCACCATCGAGACCCTGGTGTTCCTCTTCTGGCTGGCATGTGAGACATCCTACAGGGTGGTCTCCAGAGCGTTTGGGATGCCTCGATCCACTGTTCAATGGATTGTCCACAGGGTCACTGAGGAGGTAGGGCTGGGCGATTTGGCCTAAAAATAAAACCTCGATTTTTTCTAACTAATGGACGATTTTCGATTTAAACCTCGATTTTTTTCTGAAATGATATGGATCCTCCTGGATGTGGTGAGTTAAGTATGGCGAGTAAAAAGAAGAATAAAACAGATGGTTGGAGTAAAGATGCGAGGACTTGACATTTTATTTTGGGATCATCCACATTTCCAACAAAGGTTCATGGATGAAAAAAATGCCAATACTGAATCTGATGTTAGAAATGTTGACTGCATCTGGTTTCATTTCAATTTCAACATTTCTATTATTTCCAAATGCACCTGCATGGAAAGAAAACCTATTAAATATCACTGTCCAGAATAATTTGGGTTGCATATTTAGTTATGTGAGACAAATATACATTATACACTTTTGTCAATCATTTCAACAAATCATATCTCAAAGAAAATTAAAAGAAAGTATAAAGCCTCATATATCTTTGAAAATGTAAAACTGTTTTATGAAATATGTTTTTGTTATGTTCCAATACAAAATATAAAGGCTATAGGTCATCAGTTAAACATTTAAAAAAATAAAATATATATTGTTATATGTTTTTAATATAATAGTGAAATAGAAAAACATGTCCAAAATAAATCAGGTTACAGGATGTTGATTTCAGGAAAGGTAATATTGGGGTTTGTTATAGCTTGCAGGAAGTTAACCATTAGAATAATTGCAACGCATGAATTCCAGGTTAGTCTTGCTGTTGGCATCAAACAAAAAAATCACTTCAGACTGGTTTCATCATTTAAAAATATCATCATGTTGAATGATACAAATACAACAAATAATGATAATAAAAAAATACCCTCAAACAAAATAACATCCCTTTAACTTTCTAGGAAGTTTTCTACAGGTTTTTCGCGAGGAAGACAAGCCTGTCTACTGCCTCTGGCTTGAGGCATGCTCTTTGGCATGTTACAATATTACCCCCCGTACTGAAAACCCTCTCCGAAGGGGCACTTGTGGCAGGAATGGAGAGATATTTCTTGGCCAGATAACTCAGTCTTGGGAAGTTAGCTTCATGTAGCTTCCACCACTGCATGTCTCTGTCGCAGGTGCTGGAATAAGTTGGTTGAGTTCCCATGTTTTGCAGCGATCGTCTTTCTACAGACCTTACACAGAACAGTTGTTTGTTCTATGTCTGACTGCTTGTACCCGAACCACTTCCATACAACTGAACTTACTGAAGTGGTACCTTTTTTAGGAATGAGTTCTTCTTCATCTGTGTTCGTGGACATTTTTATGCTACGTCTGTCGTAGTGATGTGTCGGTCACGAACTATTTAAGTGAACGACGGGAGCCGGCTCTCGCCCGCGAACGAGCCGTTTTTTTGCGGAGGGATCGGCATGAAGGCACATTATGCAATGTGCAATGTGCACATTATCCCGCTTATTACATGGCCAAATTCTCAGCAAAGTAACGACATGACTCCCAATATTAATTGAAATGCTTTTATGGATTTAGAAAATGATTTTATTGATTTAAAAAATAGTTTTGTATTGATTTAAATTGACATGCATCCGCTAAGAAAAATAGTGCGTTGTTACTGTTTGAACTAACGTAGCAACGGCAGGAACTGCTTCGATAGTGTTTTTGAGGAGCTTTTTGATTACAGATCCAAAAAAAAAATCGCGGTTTTTCGGTTTAGCCATTTCACAAACCGTAGGAAAGTAAAAATGCGATTAATCGTGAAAACCGAAAAAATCGCCCAGCCCTATGAGGAGGTGGTGGCCATTCGCCACCAGGTTATCTATGGTGGCGAGCAGAAGACCTGGAGGCTGTGTCGCGTGGGTTCACAGGGCTGACCAGACACAGAGCCTTCAGAAAAGCTGCTGGAGCAATTGACGGCTGCCATGTCCACATCGTGCCACCAAGCTGCCCTAATTGTCACCGTTATAGAAATAGGAAGCTTTTTCCTTCAATAATTCTGCAGGCAGTTTGTGACCATCAGGGCCGCTTCATTGACACGTACGTGGGCTGGCCTGGGTCGGTCCACGACTGTAGAGTGCTCCGCCAGTCCACTGTACCGGCGGGCACTCTACCCTCCTCCAGGGCAGCACATCCTCGCAGACGGGGGGTATCCCTGCCTCCAACATCCACTCCCCCTCATCACTCCGTACAGACAGCCGCTGCAAGGTGTGGGACCCCAGCGCTTTAACAGCCATCACTCCCGGGCACGCTCTATCATTGAGCGTGCCTTCGGGATGATGAAGACCCGCTTTCGCAGCATCTTCCTGAAAGCGCTGGAGGTGCACCACACCTTCGTTCCTCAAGTAAGTATTCGCTCAACAGGATTTTGTATAATACAGAAAAACAGTTGAATGACCTAACATGACTTATTTTCCGGGGTTATAACATATTGCCACTTTTGCTATTTCAGATCATTACAGCATGTGCTGTAATGCACAATATCTGCATCGGAGCCGGTGACATCATGGCCCCCGATGCAGATATTGTTGAGGACGTGGCGGAGGATGAGGGGGAGGATGTGTTGGAGGCAGTCAGTGGTGCCCCTTGGCGGGACCAACTGTGTGCAGAGGTGTCTGCCCTGGAGGAGGTTCCCATGGACCACCAATATATATATATATATAAGGTATGTAAAACAATTGTAGAGCAGAGACATTTGTTATGGTGAAAATCATTTAGCAAATGTGTCTTTATTCATCTTTTGTTATTCTCTGTTTCTGAAAACATCTTAGTGACATGGCAGCCGTCGATTGCGCCCGCCCTGCAAACCCACGCAATGGACAATTTGGTGGACAGTGGAGAGAAGTAGCTCTGGAGACCTCCCAAGAGGATGCCCCACCATCAGAGGGCACCAGGGTCCCAAGTGGCGGCCCATCCAGCAGCACCACCTGGGACTCCCTGCTCAGCCTGAATGTATATAGTTAAACTGTTGTGTTTGTATTGTAGTGTTTTATGCTGTTGTGTTTGTGCTGTATATATATATATATATATATATATATATATATATATACACACACATATTTATGTCGTTAATAAAAAATAGAAATCATTTTTTTCAGTTGATTACATTATTTATTGTTGTGATAAACATTTATTTGTCCACAATTTTCTCCAGTATGGAAAACAGTCGGTCCATCATCTCCTTATTCTCTTGGGCTCTCCTCTCCTCTGCCTCTCTCTGGTACCTCATATCCTCTTTTATGAGATCCACTAGTTCATCTCTCCCTTTCCTCTTTCTCCCCTGTGATGGCCCTGGCTGGCTACCTGCATCCGCCTCCTGCTCTTCCACTTCCTGGTCACCCACTGCTGCACTTGGCTGTGGTGTGTCCTCTGGGATGGAGGAAATTAGGATAGGAGGTCTGATGGAGGGCCTCTGTCCTAATACTTCATCCATTTGGACAAACCACGGCTAAGATGCAGCGGTGGGTTTCCCACTGACTCCCTCTCCTGACCCTGGGTACTTGCAATCCTAAGGCAGAGTAAAACAATCGTGGCAGTAAAATAACAGCAGCAGCTAAACTAATGTCGGCATATGTGTTTATTAACTTCACACACACATACTTTATACTTCTTCTTAAGGTTGTCCCACTTTTTCTTCGCTTGCAGGGGAGTCACCTTCCCCTGCAGGCCCATTTCTTCCAAAATCTTCCTACTCACAGAAATAATAGAAGAAATTAACTATTATCAATAACAATAACTCAAACATGCTAAATTTGGAAAAACTGACACACACAAATAACTAATAAAACATTTACTTAATGCTCAAAAGGCTGAGACATCACTACAGAAAAATACAATGAAGAACATTGGGTATTGCTGCATTTAATTGTTGTTTTCTTGGGAGGGGTTTATAAAATGAGGGATAATTGATAAGAGTAAGAATGATACAATTGGTATATTGTGCCTTACCTCCATCCAACGCTGGCCGAATGTTTGGCCCCCGTGAAGAGGGTGTCATTTCCCCCCCTCAGCTTTATAAAAAGCTCCGTCTGTTCTTTGCTCCCTAAAACAAAAGCAATTGTAAGCAGATGAAAAGCTACCCCTTTGGGATAAATGTTTGTGTCGTTAAGTATTTAAGTGGGATGAAACACTTTACTCACATTTAAAAACGAAATCACTCGCTACTGCCTCGGTTGACGCCATTTTCTGAAAAAACGTAACTCCATCACAAGTCACATTGCAACCTGGGATATGGTAGGCTGCGGAGTGTACATCAGATGTATCCTTCAAATTGGGGAAAAGTAGGCCGCATTTGGAGGACTCTCGTCTTTTTTTTTTTAATTGGGACACCCTTCTTTCGGCGGAAGTGACGTATGCGGTCTACAAATGCAACCTCCGAAGGGTGCAGCCCCTGAATTGCGACACGGCCCATGTGTTTTTGACTTTGCATATCGTTTTTGTATTTGCAGTGTTTTTCTGTTGTGTTTGTTTTCAGGGTTTGTTTGTTTTTCATTTCATTATTCGCTGGTGTTTTCTGCTTATGTATGCGTTTTTGGCCGTTGTTTCGCGTTTGCACCTGACGGCCACCGTAGGAGACAGACTAAAGCTATTGCAAATTGTATATACATGTATTTGTTTGGACTGACTCCATCCTTACCTCCATGAGAAAGACATCATTCCTCTTGGCAGAGGACAGGATCTCCTTCATCTTCTTGGTGTTCATGGCCAGCGGCTTCTCACACAGCACGTTCTTCTTGGCATTTGTGAAGAGGAGGCAAGTGCTCAGATGGTAGGGGTGGATAACTCCAATGTACACAACATCTGCATTCACAAAAAGACACAAACCAGAGATCATGCTGTGATGTTTTTCAATGTCAAAATATATATTACAGTATATATATAACCCACAGGAAATCAAGACAGTTGTGGTTCTAACTGAATACAAGAGTAGTAAAAGCGCCATCAAACAATCTGATGTGACCCAGGTCTGAAAGAAACTAACCTATGTCTGGATCTCTGGCCAGCTCCTCATAGCTGCCGTAAACTCGGGAGATGCTGTGCTTTGTGGCAAACTGCTGTGCATCCTCTAATTCACGAGCTGCCACAGCCACAACCTGTAAATCCAGTTTATAATATTATTCACCACAACAAGGTAATCCTGTTCCACCGTAATGAAAAGCCCCCAGAAATAGAAGGTATTTCTTTTATGGATATTTTACTAATCACTCCCCTTTTAAACTGTATTATTGTGTTCTTGTCATATAGTATTTCATACCTGTTGTTCATGTATTACTTTTATATTACTATCTGACATCACATACATCGTAGCATTAAAGTTCACAGTTTATTTATAATTAATTTTAAATTTGTATAAATAATAAAAAACGTGTTTATTGGGGAGGGCAAGAATGTCAAATGGGAGGGCCTGAAGATTTTTTTTTTAAATATTGGAGTTAAAAGCATCAATCTGGTGCACTTTGAGAGCAAAATGAAGAGATCTACAGTATGGATACATCTCTCAACACCCATATGAAACAGAACTGTAAACAGATGTTCTTTTTCTTTATGGATATTTTACAAATCACTCTCCTTTTAAACTGTATTCTTGTTTTACTGTCATATAGTATTTCATACCTGTTTTTCATTTATTCTCTTATTTTTTTAATAATTATAATGATTCGTGAGTGACCAAACCGTTTGAGACCCACTGAGATAACTTAGACTAAAGTTAACTATTTAAACACTCAAGTGTCCTTGTTTAGCTCACTGAGCCTCTCAGTCTGTCAGGAGAGGACTCTCCTCCAGCTTGTTGTGGAACAAACCGCTCCTTATGTCCGCTAGTGCAGCTAGCTAACCAGATGCTAACAACACGGTCCCTTGCTGGCACCGGTGCTTGCCTCTGAACACGTGATTCACGTGAACAGTGAACACGGGAAATTACAATCCTGCCGTCCTCTCTAGTGTCATGATGAGGTTTAGGTAAAGCACGGTTAATGTATTATAGTATTGAGGGAGAATTGTCCGGGGCTACAGAAAAAACATTCGGGGCTTCCAGGCCAGGCGACGCCGCAGCAGACTGTAGTTTGAAATGTCAATAAACTCTTTAAAACTGCATGTTGCACATCATCAACACTGGATTAGGAATGTACTTTAACCATAGACTGTAAGACATGTGTGTGAACTGTCAGCGGATACACACTCTGCACGGAGCGAAAAGCTGGGTTCCGTGTATAGACTGTAGTCGAGACGTGTTGCAAACTAAATATTGAAATGTGTGTGCGCTTCTGCTGCTGCTGGTACTACCTGGTGGTCTTCAGGAGGAAGGGTCTTCAGAGCCACAGTGAAGTCATGACTGATCTTCCCCGAGCTGCAGATTCCCCACCTGGTAGCCATGTTGGACAGGAAACAATCAGATTGAGTTGGAAATCTGACTTTATATAAAACAGTGGCACTCTTCTGCCACAAGGTGGAGCAGCAGTATCATATGTAACTGTGTGACTGTGCACTAAAATCAGGATTTGTACAAAAACGTGTCTTCCAGAGAGTGACCATAACACCAGAAAAAACTGTTGTCTTGTTTTTCTCTTATCCTATCTGACCTCATTTTCTTCCCTGCTAGTGACACAGAGTTGTAGTTTTAACCATTGCAATTAATTTTGGTATATTTGTATTATCTACTATTTGACTACATATGTCTGTTACCTTATTCTGTATTTCATTTTGACTTAACATGATTTTAACAGCCCTGTTGTTTCTGGTTAGAGGTGACAAATACAGGGATTGTTTGTTAGTCCACATCTGTTTATTAATGTAATGCTTGAGGCTGAATGGTCAATTAATCTAACCTCTTTATTAAATAAGAACATTTAATATGTCGAAGCTGTGGCACAAAACGGCACACAATAGACAAATAAATGAGCATGTAATTGTTAATAATGTCCTCACACTTTTAACTTCTTGATTACTACCTTCAAAATGTTCATTATTATTCAATTACCAACTACAACATGCACAATAATGGCAGTGCATGAGAATGTTCACATTTTGCATTCATGGACTGCATAGAGACAGCCTCCAGAGTCCTATATGAGCCCAAACGTTTACAACCATTATTAAATGAGCCATGCTCTTTGCTGACTCATAAAGCCCTTCCTCCGTCCTAACCTTGAAAAGCAGACAGTGCAACCTATTTTTGTATGGAGTACATGAGTCTATTTGTACACGGCTGCAGGGGTCAGACGTGACTTTGATTTAAAAGTGCCACTCGAAGTCTCCTCTTCTCTCCAGCGGATGATATTTAAAATGAAACAAGGCTTTCACAATCATTCCTTTATTGGATTCATCAATCACACAGCCTGCACTGACAGATGGGTTTGTTTTGGTAAGACTCTACAACTTGATTACAGGACATGGGTTGTTTACATGGTGATTTATCTGGTTTAGGACATTTTTAAACTGACAGTGTCACATTTTGTCGTGTACTGTATCAAATATGATCAATCGTGGGGGAAATTACAATGTTTGGAGCTCTAATGTGTCTAAAAGATGCATTTAGATGAAAACAGACCGTAATAAAGCCATCCAAGATTTACATAAATTATAATATTCATTGTATATTCATTTGGTGTCAGCAGTTTGTTATCCAGATCACAGTTGTCACACGGTGCTATGAGTGATCTGCTAATACCAAAGATTCAAAGCCCGCCCCGAGCAGTTCCGTCTGAGTTGGTTTATCTTCAGAGGTATGTTACTGGCTGTCCTGACTGAAGAAAACTCCCACCTGCTTCCTGATTTCATCCATGATCTCTGTCAGTAAGACCGAGTCTGCCAGAGGCATCCGTGGGCTCTCCTTAAGTCCTGCGGATAAAGAGGAGTTTCACAGGAAAATCTGACAGACACGCCTGTTTATAACCACGGTTAAATTATACAAACGCTCACAATGCATTACCTTACATTACATTGCATTTAGCTGACGCTTTTATCCAAAGCGACTTACAATAAGTACATTCGACCAGGAAGACACAACCTTGAAGAAAACAGAATCATATAAGTACATCAGGTTTCATAGAGCCAAACATTAAATGCAACATTAAAACATCAAAGCAAGGATGTAAAGATTATGTAAATGAACATAGGAGGCAAACCAATAGAGCGTGATGTAAGCCGGAGGACATCCAAGGACTGATAACAGCATTGATTCGGAATCAATCTGATGTGTGTTTGTGTTTTCATGCAAATATCCACAAGAAGCTCCAGGTAAGCCTCTGTTTCATTGAATTGCAGCTTCTTTCTTTCAAACTCAACCTACCTAAGACAAATACACTTTCCTATTGTCATGACGTACCTTTAAGCAGGCATTGCCTCACTTCCTCTGCCTCAAAGCGAAGCCCGGTGCTGTTGTCGAAATTCAAAGGGAGGCCAGGTTCGGACAGCGGTTACTCCAACTCTTTGTCGTTCACTACGAGTGTGGTAGGGCAGTGCATGGGGCCAAGAACCTGAAGGGAGAACAGGAAATGCATTTTTGTGTTAATCCAATCACTCAACTCGTGCATCATCAAATGCAGTTGGTATGGATATCTAATTAAACATGAAACTAATTAGCAGTCAACTCAGTGTTTGCATGTCTCAATCATTTCTTGATGAAGTACAATGTTCCTGTGAAAGACTAGCATAGCGTACTTTAATGGAGCCCTTAGTGCCAGCGATGACAGCATCGTTGGGAAGTCGGACAGCAATTGAAAATGTGCAGAAGGCCATCCTGTTCCTGGAAAACTTCATCACAACAACCACTGACTCATCCACTCCTGCAAAACATTTGAAAAGTAAAGCATTGCAACATGGGTTGAATAAATGGTATGAATACTACTGTTGAGTAAGTTCCATTCAGTTCAGTTCAGGTCATTTTAATACACGGCCCTTCAGCAAACTACAATTGGGTCAAATCAGTCCACTTCTATTCAGCTTTACTGGCATCACCTTCTGATTCAAAAGAAAAGGTCACAGCTGTACAAAACGAAAACTTAGGTAAGGTAAGTAAAAGAAAAGAAAATGTTCATTACATGAATAGTGTGGAATTAAATTGAAGGATATCTTGCTGCTGTGAGACATGTAGTTACATATTCCCCTGTCACTTTGACTGTATTACTGCATTCCCCCGGGGAGGATTTGGATTAGTCTGACATTTTAAAGATAAGTCTGGGATTTTCTGTGTGGAGAATTCTTCCCTGAGGTGTTTACTTTTTGGACAGTTCATAAAAAAATTGATTTTCTGTAAGTTTCTTCTGCTTCCCAGTAGGGGTTCTTACTTCCTTTTGGACTTTATTTTTGATGCTTTCAATAACCACTTTGTAATCTCTGATTCATGCTGTGTGTGGGTAATGATGCAAATCTGCATACAACTATACTGCTGTGTGCTGAATCATACCTGAGTCGAGTAGCACCCCAGTGGCCTGGATGGACTCCGGCCTCTCTCCGTTGAACACTATCAGCACAAACTGCAGACAGTACACGCCGATGTCCAGCAGTGCGCCGCCTCCCAGCTCCTTCTCCACCGAGCGGGGGATGTGGAGCTGTGGGGAGCCGAAGTAGGCCTTCACCAGCTTCACCTCCCCTACCGCCTCCTCCGCCAGCAGCCTGCGCACCTCAGCGTGCAGGGGGAAGCAGCGGGACCAGATGGCCTGAGAGGGGCAGAGCAGACAACCTATAGCACCGCTGCAACAGTAAACAGCTCAGACTGGAGCTTCACCCAGGCAGCAGTTTATTACCACAGCTTTCCACTTCCTCATACTCCTGTGCACTGCTGTGGCAGATGTGCTGGTTAAACATGACATGACAAGATGTTTTACTGCACCAAATATTCCCAGGACGTTCAGGGTTTTGCTTCCTACATTAATCTCCTGTGCTTAAAATATCTGCCCTCATTGCACCATCATGCCACTGCTGAGTTCAAATGCAATGAGATATCCACTTAAAATAAAAGGTTAATATGTTAATACTTACTTGTATCAAACCACCTGCTACAAAGGGTTTAAGTCATAGTTCTAACACAATAGGAAAACTCTTATTTGCTTTCCTGCAGAGAGATATATGACAACATGGACTATACTCTCACGTCGGTAAATATTCGTGCTGGTTAGCTTAGCTTGGTATTAAATCAGAAAACCAGATAATTGCCAGCCCTGTTTATTCTCATGGGACAACATCCATAGACCAGCAGCTCTAAATCTGTCTGATTAGCATCTTAAATCTTACGTGAAAAAATGTGTAAAACAACAAATTGCACATTTACTAATATAAGGGGTTATGACCCGGACCAGCAGCAACTATGCTTTGTTATCACTCAGATGACAAATGTGCCGCCTTTATGTTAAACTAAGCTACACATTCTCATCTAGTTTTAGTTGGAAAGTAAATAGCACCAATCTTAGTTCCAAAACATGGATTTAAAGCCAACATAAAAACACTTTTTTGTTATTTTTTTCTTTTAAAAATGATTTTACATCCGATTTGACAAGATGTCTGTATGACGAGGTGAGACTTGAAATATTATCTCTAAACACATCCAAATGTTTTGTGTTGTGTTTGTATTGTGTTGGCTTTTAACCTGCACCTGCAATGGCCCCATGTCAAAGGTCTACAAGGCTGTATACCGTCATCCTTACCTCCATGAGGAAGACATTGTTTTTCTTGGCTGTGGCGACGAGGTCTTTCACCTGCCTGGAGTTCATGGCGAAAGGTTTCTCACACAACACGTTCTTCCCGGCCTTGAGGAACAGCAGACCCACCCTCCAGTGCTCTGTGTGCAGCACTCCCACGTACACCATGTCTGCGAGGACACAGATGTTCCAGGCTCAGCTTCAAACAGCAACACAACAAGCCATTATCTCTGCCCGTGCAGCCTGACAGCTCTTTACTCACCAATGTCCGGGTCGTTGGCCAGCTCCTCGTAGCTGCCGTAAGCCTTAGGAATACCATGTCTGTTGGCAAACTCTTTGGCACGTTCCAGGCTCCTCGATGCAATGACTGCTATCTGTGCGAAAGAGAGAAAAACACACACATTAATCAAAGTGTTGCTCTGTCAGCAGGAGAACAGTGTGACAGTGAAGGTTGTGGGCTTTTTTGGATAGAGTACCTGGTGATCTCCAGGTGGCAGAGTCTTCATGGCCACGCTGAAGTCATGGCTGATCTTCCCCGCACCACAGAGTCCCCATCGGGTCGCCATGTTGGATTGGATGGTAAGTGACAAATGAGTGCGATGGTGCTTGAGTAAAGATCTGAGCGGCTGGCGAGTTGTGACCTTCAGGGAAAGAAACACACTAAACTGTCGTGCCTTGGAGCCAGCGGCACCTCAGCGAGAAGGCTCCTCAATTTATATGCTGGGGAGGCAGGATGTGTCACCTTCCCTCTGCCCCCACCCTCAGGTAAA